CCCCACCCTGGGGGCAGCGGGGACCCCCCCAGATCCGGCCCCAGGACGGGGACCTGCTGCTGCTGCTGCGGAGCCTGGGTGCGTCTGGACTGGGAGCACTGGGAGAGGGACTGGGGCAGGACTGGGGGTGCTGGGAGGGACTCGGAGAGGGACTGGGGGCACTGGAAAGGAACGGGAGAGGGTTTGGGGGCACGGGGAAGGTCTGGAACGGGGATTGTGGGCACTGGGAGGGCGAGTCAAGAGGCTGGGGAGACTGGGAAAGAGGATGAAGGCATACTGGGAAGGACTGGGAGGCACAGAGGGAACTGGGCTGCACAGGGAAGGAAGGACTGGCATGGGACTGGGGAGCACTGGGAGAGGCACTGGAGGAGGCACTGGGAGGCACTGGCAGCACTGATGCCCTGTCCCCTCCTCGCAGGCCCTGGAGCCCCCCCTGAGCCCGTGGCCGCCACCAGCTTTGTGGGCCCTGAACCCCGGGACCTGCTGCCCACTGGTACTGGGAACACTGGGGGCACTGGGCGGGCAGGGGTATTCGGGCTGCTGGCCCCGGGAGCAGGGGAAGGGGGCCAGAGAGCCCTGCGTGGCTACTCAGCTATACTGGGTGTTACTGGGATATACTGGGAGGCAATGGGAGCACCGAGCCCACCCCTCTCTCCCGCCAGGTGAGGAGCTGGGGAGTCCCAGCAGTGCTGGGAGGGAACTGGGCTACAGCCTGGCCTGGCCGCAGGTATGGACTGGGAACACTGGGAGGGAATTGGGAAGGATACTGGGAGCAGTGGGAGGGAATGGGGAGGGCTGGGATGCAGCTGCACAGGGGCACTGGGGGATTTACTGGTATGCAACTGGTGTTTACTGGGGCCACGGGAACACCCGTCCCCCTCTTCTCTGTCTGCGCTGGAGCTGCCAGTATCACACCAGTGTGATACTGGTGTGTTAATGGTGAGTTATTGGTGTGATACTGGTGCATTAATGTTCTATTAATGGTGTGTAAGTTACTGGTGTGGAACCCGTGTGTGCCTGGTTCGTTGTCGCTGTGATACCGATGTGCTACTGGTGTGTAACTGGTGTTACTGGGCCCAGGACCCCATCCCATTCACAGTGGAGCTGCCGCGGGGCCCAGGGGGTTTCGGGTTCAGCCTCCGGGGGGGCCCCGCCGGGGTTTTCGTGCGGGGGCTGCGTGAGGGGGGCCCGGCCCAGCGCTGCGGCTGCATCCAGGTACGGGGGATTTGCGGGGCTCTGGGGGTCCCGGGGGGGATATT